TAGTTAACTTGTGCTGTGGATGAAAGAAACATGTTACATGCTGAATAACAGAATAGTTATTTATTTATTTTTATCTTCAGTCCCTTGTAGTGGACACAGAGTCTTCCTTGATGACAGAATGAAGTGATGTGATGTGGACATCATGCTCCTTGCTATATCACCTTACAGCCTCTCTCTTATATAGAACCACAATATTTAAGAGAGTTGTGCAGAAATGCAGACACATACTACAAATTTCATTCTTTTCATCAGAGTTTCAGTTTTAGACATTTCCAAGCTTCTGATTTGTCTTCAAATATGTGTTGTGATTTCCAGTGAATAAGGAAAACAGGATGTTGTCTTTGACCACACGGAGCCTAACTGGAGCCCAAAGGGCTGTGACTTGGAGACAGGGAAGATTTATAAGGGACTGCAGGTGCTTCTTTACCAGTGTGCCCGAATGCCGCTTTGTCCCCAAGACCAGAAAGATGGGTCCCCCCTCTTCCCCCAGCTCATCCTTCTCCAGCCATTACAGATGCTTCACTGTCTCATCTTCTCAGTGGAGCTCTGCATCGTCACCTACAGCCGATCAGAAAACACCATCTTACAGTTATGTCATTATTGGGGCGGGGTCCGCTGGTTGTGTCCTCGCTAACCGCCTCACAGAAGACGCCCAGGAGTCTGCGCTGCTGCTCGAGGCTGGCCCTAAGGACAGGTGGTTAGGCAGCTTGCGACTCTCATGGAAAATCCACATGCCAGCTGCCCTGATCTACAACCTCTGCAATGACAAGTACTTTGATTGATCTGTTTTTTTATTCGAGTCATTAAATGTTTTTGTTCAGATTTATAAAAACAGACATTTGCCTTACTGTATGACATTTAATATTACACGCTAAAGGGTTTCTCAGTTAGCTCAGTGTGTAGCAAGCAGACCTTTGACCTTTAACCTACATCTCAGTTGTTTAAATGTGAACAATGAAATGGCATTACAATATTACATCGCTTTTACATGTAAAAAAACAGTCCAGTATTGGCCTAACATTAATAGCCCAGCATTCTGATACCAGTAATAATAACATTGTATAAACTGTTATTAACTTATAATAGTCTGACTTGTTGCTATCTCATTTCATTTTTGCTCAGGTATAACTGGTTCTACCACACTCTACCTCAAGCCAACATGGACAATCGGGTAATGTACTGGCCGAGGGGCCGCGTCTGGGGAGGGTCCTCTTCACTCAATGCAATGGTGTACATCCGCGGGCACGCTGAAGATTATAACCGCTGGCAAAGAGAGGGCGCAGATGGCTGGGATTATGACCATTGTCTGCCTTATTTTAGGAAAGCTCAGTGTCATGAGCTGGGAGAAAACAGGTAACTAATACAAATATATACTGGGCATTTTTACCAATGCTTTTCCAGTATCTTTTTATGTATGATCACAGCATTTTTCACTTGTATGGCAGTGCTGTTTTCTCTGTCCCGCTCACCCAGGCTTTAAAATCTCAAATATGTAAGAAGACAGTTTTTTCCTTGTGCATAAATGCACAGAACTGCATTGAATTCTTTTGCAGAACCCACCTACACCGAGCATCACGCATATCTAGACTGGCTGTCTCTAATCTAATTTCTAAGTAAGAATGTGAGAAACCAGGAAATACATCAGTCAAAAAAGGTCACAGCTCAAAAGCACTTTACACTTTAAAACTATTATGTGCAAACAGAAATTTGAGGCACTGTGCGATATATTTGATACAATATAACGTGTCATTTCATAAATAGCAAACAATGAAATAAATGTCAGCGAACTCTGAATGAGATTGATGAGATTGCCTATGAGAAATTCGTTGGAAACTGTTCAGTACAACCACAATGACAAGGTGACAACCACAGGAAATGTACCAAAAACAAACACCGGGAGACTACAAAGACTTTACCCAAGTATTTACAGGATGACTTTGTGGAGGAAGGACTTTGGCATGCTTAACTGAGAACTTTTGTCATTTAGATCTGAATGATGAAGATGACTGTTAGAGTAAAACTGAAATGTTGAAATGACCTGTAAAGGAAGTAGTATAATCACTGTGTTTCATAATATGGTACAGAAACATAGAAGAACACTTAAATTTAAGTGTAGCAATTATGGAAAACCTTCTCAGTTATTGGATTGCATATATCCAACAGTAAAGAAAAGAGAATTATTAATATTGTTTGCATGCCTACACTATATGACTTCCTATGAAAACAATTGAAACAGCTCTCTCTGTCTCTCTCTTTTTTTAATGTTATCTTTATGTTTTTGCTCTATATTGTAGATACCGAGGCGGCAGCGGACCTCTTCAGGTGTCCAGAGGGAAAACCAACCATCCCCTTCATAAGGCTTTTATTGAGGCAGGGCGACAGGCAGGATATCCATTCACTGATGACATGAATGGATACCAACAGGAAGGCGTGGGCTGGATGGACATGACCATTTATAAAGGTTCTAAATGCTAAATGCTACAGAATTTATAGATAATTAATAGGGTTAGTTACAGGTAAAGTGCCACAAACCTTTTCTGGTGAAATGTTTTCGAGTGGCAGAATTAGACGTCTGATCTCAGTCTGATTTAGCTCCAAAGGTTAAAATATCAATACTACAGTTTAAATGTCAGGAGAGCAAATCAACATGCTTTCAGATGTGTGGCCTTTAAAAAAGGAAGGGCTTAATTTCTTGGATGAAAAATGTGTCTTTGTCGTTGACCACAATGTGTTTTTGAACCTCTGAGCACATGTCACTGTGTGTTCATAGAACTACTTTACCAACTCTAAATAAATCTGAAACTTAGGCCCATTAAGAAAGTAGTTACTGTCGTACGTCATATGGAATAATTCCTGAGGCCGCAGAAGAGAAACTATGTTACTGGTCAAATACGTTTGAGTACTGTTTAATTCTTGATCTAATCTTTACATACTTTCACTGTCTAAATCTATCAAGGGAAGAGGTGGAGCACTGCCAGTGCTTACCTGAGACCAGCCCTGGGTCGACCCAATCTGAAGGCGGAGGTACGATGTCTGACCACTAAAATCCTGTTTGATGGCAACCGTGCTGTGGGGGTGGAATACATTCAAAATGGACAAAAGAAAAAGGCAAGGAGGATAGATGTTAGAAGATTAACTAATGTATCATAAAATTAAATTAATTGAATCACTGAATTATGTTTTATATCCTGAATTTGGCCCTTTACAGTGATTTTTCTATTGTCTGTTCAGGTGTTTGCAGAAAAAGAAGTGATAGTCAGCGGAGGAGCCATCAATTCCCCTCAGCTTCTCATGCTATCTGGGATTGGAAATGCAGATGACTTGAAACAGCTCGGCATACCTGTGATTCAACACTTACCAGGTGTGTTGTGTATGTGAAGAACGTCCTTGTAGCCTACCTCTAACTTAAAGAACTACAATAATTAGAAAGTTTTCCAACTGATGCTTGTGTGACTTCAGACGATCATCTCTTCGGTGCTTACTGTCAGACCACTTTGCCTTCCTCCTCTCTCAGGTGTCGGTAATAACCTGCAGGATCACTTGGAGCTGTATGTCCAGCAGCAGTGTACTCAGCCCATCACCCTGTACAAAGCCCAGAAACCTTTCCACATGGTCAAGATAGGCCTCGAGTGGCTCACCATGTTTACTGGTAACCAAGTCACCTGCACATTTATAACGGGACAATCTCCCAAATGTTTTATAGAATTAGCAAGAGTTTCTGTCCTTGCATCACTTTTAGATGAAGATGTCTCCAAACTGCCATTTCACTCATCTAACATGCTTGTTCATCAGAAAATATAATTGAAAAGAAACCAGGGAGTTAATATAAACCCTTTAACTTTCATTCAGATCTCAGCTATATTAATGATTATACACAATTATTGCGCAGATGTTAAATATTAAACTATTTTCACTGGGCACACAGCCGTGCAAGGAATGTATCAGCCTGCAGCACTGCCTCTTTCTAAACTACAGCTGGCATTGACACAGTATATAGAAGAATTTCTCACAGTTTTAATAATGGTGACTCATAGGAAATGTGACATGAGGTGTTTTATTGGTGATCCTGGCAAATTACATTTACAGTCTGGTTCCTGGTTGTTGGAGAAAGTCAGCTAAGAAAGTCGAAAGAACTACCAGAAAAAAAGCTTATCAATCACATCACACCAGTGGCATTTCTTGTAAATACGCCTGTCTAATAATCATTTCACTAACCACATCAATCTCCCACAAGGTTATGGAGCAACAGCCCACATGGAAAGCGGAGGATTTATTCGTAGTCGTCCCAAAGTAGCGCACCCCGACATCCAATTTCACTTTCTGCCCTCACAAGTCATTGACCACGGACGAGTCACCCCCAAAATAGAGGCTTATCAGGTGAGTAAAGCTTGTTTTTGCAAAACCGTGACTTCTTAATGCTGGTGTAGAGGGCATGCTTATGTTTTTTTTAAGCCTTCTATAAACATGTGTAGAAACAAGAAGTCAAGTAAACAGCCCAAAGCATGAATTGCAGCGCATAGAATATGCCCAGTCTTGCAGAGGAGTATTTACAGGCGTGCATATGTTCCATGGAAACAAAAACAAGAACAGCGCCATGAGTTTTCCAGGAAATTCTATGCAGGGAACCTTTCACCCTTATTTATAGCCTCTTTTCCAGAGAAGTGCACCTGAAACGAAATCACTCACTCTTTCTTTTTCTTTGTCTTCTACTTAAACTGTGCAAAAGGCGCAGCCGTTTATTTCTTTTTACTTTAATTAATAGTGTCATACATCTGTAAATTAGAATTGGATAATTTTATACTATTTATATTTTATATTGGATAATTTTGAAATT